GTGTTTGTGTGTGTGTGTGTGTGTGTGTGTGTGTGTGTGTGTATTTGTGTTGCATGATTGACAGGTGTGTTGTATTTGCCAGAGGCCAACTGAGATTCAGATACATGCCAGAGCTGGCGAGTCGCTTCGAGAAACAGAGAGAGAGAGACAGATGGAAAGCGAGAGAGAAAGAGAGTGAAAGACAGAAAAGACAAAAAAGCATGGGTGAGGTGACTACATGCAAGTCAAAGTGAAATAGAGAGGTCACCATTTTTCTGCTTTTTTTTCCTCTTCACAGGTTGTTAATTTCCCCATGCTATGCCTGTGGGTTGCTATGCTTTTTTTTTTTTTTTAGCACTTTATCTATTGTTAAAGGTTAGAAGTGTTAAAATGATGAAATACTTTCTATTATCCCAGTTTAAATGAAAAAATTTAAGCAAAAATAGAGTTGGGTAGCTAGTCTGTCCATTAGGTTTAAAGTCATCTATATAATTATAAATATTAATCATTCCTTACATTTATATAGCGCTTTTCTGGGCACTCAAAGCGCTTTACATAGAAGGGGGAATCTCCTCAACCACCACCAGTGTGCAGCATCCACCTGGATGATGCGATGGCAGCCATATTGCGCCAGAACGCCCACCACACACCAGCTTATTGGTGGAGAGGAGACAGAGTGATGAAGCCAATCAGCAGACATGGGGATTGTTAGGAGGCCATGATGGTCAGAGGCCAATGGGCGAATTTGGCCAGGATGCCGGGGTTACACCCCTACTCTTTTTCGAAGGACATCCTGGGATTTTTAATGACCACAGAGAGTCAGGACCTGACTCTATATGTGCTAATGATCTACTAAAAATTGACAAAATTACTCGCTTGAATAGTATATCCACATTATTTTTAAAGTAAGAGAGTATACGGGCAATTTTTAACTGACTGTGCAAAGCTTTCAATGTCAGCCGATGACAGTTTACAGCCGATTTGAGTTTACAGTCTGTTACTGTTTGCTGTTGAAAACTGCCATTTTTCATTATATTTTAATTTATTAGTTTAATCATTAACACATTTGTTTGTAGCGCAATAGTTTATTGTTTACTGTACTTTGTTATTCCACAAATTATTTATCTACAGTATAGCGGCTAATAAAGTCTCGCACATTCACAAGAAATAGCATACTCCCACATTGAAAAAGGTGTAAAATAAACATTTTACCAGACAAACATGTTTAAAATTCAGTCTTTTCTCTTCTGAGAAAAAAAGAAGTCACCATTTTTAAATTGATGACTCAACTTGCACTGCACAGATTTTTGTACAATCAAATGTTTTTTAGAATGAGAATGTCCCACCCCCTAATAACAACTGCATCCAACTAGCAAGTCGCATTAGTAAGCCAACCACTGGCTTAAAAAAAAAAAAAAACAACAACTCACAAACCCTTATTTTATTAAAATATTTTCCACACAAACTTCCAGTTTCAGCAGGAAATACGTAAACATAGGGAGTGTGATTTTCTTTGAAAATGCATAAACAACTCTTAAGTAACTCATTTTTTTGTAGCTTGATTTTCTTGAAAAAGTGTAAACTTGTGTCTCTGTCATGGCAACATGGCAACAGTGTCTCAACCAATAGTGTGAGTTTGGGGCGGGGCTATCTGTTTGAATGACCAATAGCAGATAGTTTGGGGAAACCTTTTAAAAAACGTTATTTTTGCAAATAACATTTGATGATGCACAGAAATTACACAAACAGTGTTAAACTTTGAATACTGGAGGCTCAAAGAAATAAGCTCTTCGACCACAACAAACTTCTTTTGTTCTTTTAGGTAAAAAAAAAACTCTTTGAATTTAAACAAACACAGCTGTTTTTGCATCCAGCACTCAATGTGCGTGAAAACAATTCAGTGAGAAAAAAAACAGAGAGAGAGAAAAAAAGATGTTTTCTCACAGGTCCACAGAGAATCCCGTGTGATTGTTTCTCCTGAGGCTGAGCAGGCATGAGCTAACAGATTGGTAAAAAGTTAGGACATGGCTTTATCAGACATCAGGATTGTTTTTGGAAAGAAACTGGGACTGAAATTCCCTGATAGGATTTGGAGATGTTTTATAAGGAAATACAGTCTATCAGCTTGCTCAAACTACAGCTGTGTGGAAAAAAGGATTGTTTGCTGTGTCTTGGCCTGTGGCCAATCAGATGGCTCTAATTTGTGTGTGAGTAGTCGAAGCATGTGGTGATGCTGGCTGGAGGACTGCAGCATGTGATGGAGGAAACACGTCTACATCAATGACGACCCTTCTCTGTGGCTACAAGGCTACAAGCTAATAACTTTTGCCAAAAATTATCTAATTTACAAAATCTAAAATCCATCTGTGTTTAAATTTGAATGCATGTCTTTGGAAACACACACCGCTTTCAGTGCACTTATGGAGGACGTGATCCATAATAGATCAAAAGTGATCCAGCACATAGGACTTTTCAGAAGATTCTTGCATGGCTGTCATAAATTTTGTCAAACGAGTTTGTGATGCTGGTTCCATCTTCAATAAATGTTTTAAACTACTCTACGATAGTAACACTTATGAGTTTACTTGATTAAAATAGTATAAGACACTTAAAGGTGTAGTACAGCATTGTATGTATTAAGTGCACTCACATGTAATACATATTTAATGGGAATGATTGTGGGCCTGGGTTTCATGTCACTCACTTTTTGCAGTCGTCGTAGTTAGAACAGCGACTGAGTGGAACACGGATCACGCAACTTGAGAACGCCACAAACAGGGCATGATGGTCCTTGTCCAACTCCAATCCCAAAATCCTTCGGTCCTCACCACGTACATTACACCTGAGGAGAGAAATGGTGTTTTGTGTTGGTATGCCATTAAAGAGGGTCCAAAGGTACCATATATTCACATAAAACATTAATATTAATAAAAAAGGCTATGTTATGAATTGAAAGCTACTACTACAAAAATGCAGTAGGCACATGTCCTGGATGCATGGAATAACTGGATTACAGAGTACATTGTACAAAATGTGCTGTATACAACCAAAGTACAGTGCACAAAATACTGTATCCCACAATGCAATGCAAGGACCTTCAATTTGTAGTGTGACAAATAAACTGAAAACAATTTCAACCATACTTGTTTCGTACGCGGCAGGGTTAATATAGTTAAATAAAACTACAAAAAATAAAAAATAAACATTAAGTAAGGAACAATTGACGACAGGCCATTGAATTATTAGTAATGCACACCCGAGGTGGTGATGCAGTTATTCCGCTTATACTACGGTTACCACACCTCACAACATTGTTCAGATGATGTATTTCAAGATATTCGTCAGGTTTTTGTCCTTAAAACGCTTGTGTGTAGGATTCATTTCTTACGCATCTCATCCAACGCCTCCATTGCTAATTCTAAAACGTAATTTTAGACCTAGTAACAAAGGCTTGAGCAGTTGATAGCAGACGAATGCAGTTAATAATGCAGTTATGAGAGAGGGAGGGAGAGAGAGAGAGAGAGAGAGAGAGAGAGAGAGAGAGAGAGAGAAAGAGAGAGAGAGAGATTAAGCATGTGCAAATTACCTGAGTCTGTGCGTCTCTCAACAGTGTTAGGCAGCAGCGTCTTTACTAATAGCGAAACTGTAAGTTCATCTGCTCTAACAACAGCGATGTTATTACCTTGCTAGTGAGAAATGCCTGTAGCGTTTAAGTTAAGCTATTTAACTAATAAAATCGTCAGAGCAGTGCTGACATCATGTTTCTGTGCATGTGTATGTTTCCGTGTGTGTACGTGTCTGTACTGTATGTGTGTGCGTTTGTAAGGAGAGAGCGGGAGAAAGAGAGTAAATGTTTTTCGTAATAATTAATTAAACGTAATTTTGTGGCAAAAACATGGAAATAATTGGTCATTTTCATCGTATTGTTTACATAATTTATTTGCTTGGTCAGTGTTGTTGTGGGTTTTGGTGCTTTTGCTGTTGTAGGCTGTAAGGACCTCTGAAATAACTGAATCATTTGGTGAAGTGATCTGGAGACGTAATGCAGTCAAGACCTGCCTGGAACTACTTTAGCTGTGCGTTTCCCTGAAATTCAGATTCAAGCATTCAACAGTCCCGTAGTACAATATAAAATAAAATATAACCAAAACTTATTTTATTTTAGCTCGGTGTCAAGGCAATATTTCTCATTTTCATTTATTGTAACTTAATGTACTAAAATGACTAATAATACAAATTAATAAAGGCTACATAAATATAAAAAAATATATAACAAAACTTTAAATATGGAATAGTCATGTCCTCCTGGTCACAGTATGCTTTCATTTTATGGAAAAGAGCAGCTCAGGATTCTTATCTTATATTGTGTTCAAAAGGATATTAAAAGTGGTTTTAATAGAGGTCGGGGCAAACCTTTCTCTCTGATGAAAGGAAAAAGCAATCCCCCAATAAAAGAAAGAAAAAGAAAAAAGAAAAACCCAATATAGAAAGAAATCCAATATGTGTGTCACTCAGATGAGTCACCCCCATTGAGCTGATTGAAGAAAGTCATGCCATAAGGATGACTACAATTCATCTTCCTCAGTATCTGTAATAATCAAAATAAATCATTTTCATCATGTTAAGTGTCGTTCCCAAAGGGTAACTTTTACGTGAGGTGGGGTTTTCAGGGGAAAAAGTGAGCAATGCTGCTTGAAGATGTGGTCACATTTTGTTGTGGAACTTGTGAGTCTCAGCTGGAGTTGAGGCTGGTTGTCAGATACACAAGAGCAACACAAACATTGGCGAGATCCCAGGAGTACAATTACAGCTCCACACATACCATCTGTCCCATTTACTGCAAAAGAGATTCTCTCTTAATCAAACACCTCTGTCAACATTGAGTTTGGGGTTATGTGTGTGCATGTTTATGTTTGCCTGAGACCTGTCAAAAGAGTGTGAACTGCATGAAAAAGAGCTGAACAGTGAAGATGTGTTTGTAAAGAATCTTTCAGGTGAAGTTGTGTTTGCTCAGACAAGTGACATTTTATCTGTTGCTTGTTTTCCTGCTCTGGGTAGACCTAAAGTCCCTTTCCGGCAAGTCAATCCACACAGCAGCCACCTTGGTATAGCTCTTATCTACTTGAATAAAAACTGAAATCTCTGAAACTGTTTCAATAAAATATTTCAAATAATCAAAATCTGACAGCTGAATCAACAATTTTAGGTCTTCAGCTCAATTCACACTAAAAAAACTCACTACTGACTCACTACACTCACACTATTTCTCAGGCTTGTCCGGTTCATGTGTATTCTAGAATAAACTCTATCAATATGGTTCAGCAGTGCCTCGGGCGACTTGAGTTTGAGTCCTCAAAGTCTTTTTCCCAGTCCTGTTCCCCTCTCTCCTCTCCCTTAGTTTCCTGTTTGTCTCATAGTATCCCATTGTACTACCCCACTTTTTCAGCAGCCTTGGTTTCAGAAGTATTTCTCCCATAGGAATTAAAAAAGTATCTGTTGAAGATTTATGTCATGAACTAAACCAAACAGTTACAAACTTTAATTTGAAGCAAAACAGTATTGGAAAATCAGACAAAAAGGCACAACAAAAGGTACAACACTGTGTACCACAGTCCCAAGAAGCATTGAGAATTAAAAAACGAGAAACAAACTAACTGAATTAAAAACAATCGAAAAATATAAAACTGCTGATTTAAAGATGTTGATTATATGTTATTATATTATATGTTGATTATATTGATTATATTTCAAGGCATTAATGTTTGCCTACAAAACCACCACTGGCTCTGCACCCATTTACCTAAATTCATTACTTCAGCGTTATGTGCCCTCTAGAAGCTTGCGTTCTGCAAGTGAACGGCGTATTATTGTGCCATCTCAAAGAGGCACAAAATCACTTTCACAGACTTTTACATTAACTGTTCCC